CGTCACAAACAGCCAATACACCCTGCGAAATGCTTAAGAAATCATGGGTTAAGAAATTCATAGTCTCAGAACTTGAATAAAAGCCCAACATTTCCATTACAATCTTAAGATTTACATTGAAACGTTAAGAATAATCGAGACTCTGGCCGAAAGCTTAAGTTTTCTTAAGCATCGCCTAAGGTGCATTCCAGAAACTTACCCAGGGCCGGTCGCCACAGGAAGTTCTTCGCCCGCAGGGGCAGACCTAATGCGCGCATCCAGGTACCGTCGGACTTGATCGGACAGTAGGGGGCCACAAGCGAACCCTACCCTACCCCCCACGATTTTTGAGGGGGAGGGTGGGGTTCACTTCGCTCGTGACCTCCCGAAAGAAGTGAACCCCACCCTCCCCCTCAGAAATCGTGGGGGGTAGGGGTAGGGTCCGCTCGTGGCCCCCTAAACAGGGCACCCGAAGAGGACACAGGACTCTCCTCCGACGGCCACGTGGCCCCATAACACCAGAGGACATGCGGGTTGCATGGGTCCGGATACAGTCGGACCTAGGCCAGAAGAGCATCCCTCGAGAACAGGAAGCCCTCCGTCGGCCAAAACAAGCAGAACACCCGAGGGTACCCTTCCCCCAGGGTGTACCATAACGTCCAACAAGCACGAGAAGCACTAGGGCGCCCTCCCCGAAACGACCTCGATCTTATACCTCGGTCCGACTGTAGACCTAGGGGAACAAAAATTGGCATCAACATAAAAACTCGGAGGTCCGCGCGGATTTCTCGGATCGGCGCTGGGGCCCCCCGGAGGCGCCTCTGGCGCCGCCCCTGGCGCGCTCAGCGCGCCAGGGAGGGGGGTCCAGCGCCGATCCGAGAAATCCGCGCGGACCTCCGAAATGTTATATTTATGTCACCTTTTGTTCCCCTAAGACCGGACGCAAGGGCGCCCTCGATTGCACACGGCCGACCTATACCCAGCAGGGCCGCCTGCACGCCCGTGGCGCGCGGGGGGCGCGAGGTGCCTCGGGGCCCGACGGCACGGCACCTCTCAGAGTGCCGCAAGGTCTTCTCTGCACGGTGCGCGCGCACAGGCACGAGCGCGACACCGCTCATGCTCGAGCTCCACGTCGGCGGCGAGACCGGGGGGGGGAAGTGAGAAGGGGCACAAGCAGCCTCTCACAAGGCCAGAGGGCTTCCGGAAGGTCCCGCCGCCCTCCGAGAAGGCCTGCTCCTTCTCACTTCACTTCCCCCCGTCGCTCGCCGCCGGCAGATTGGAAGGGGAGGCCGAGGACCCTCGGTAGGCAATGATGGACTCCGCCAGCGTGAGGGCAGACGCGGGGCCCATGGAGGTCCTGGTGCTGTTCCCGTCCCTGGTGATGGCCCTTTGCGCGACTCGCGCCCTGAGCCTGGATGTGCAGCGCCTCTGCAGGCGCACCGGCAACTGCACGGACCTGAGACTGCTCCGGCAAAAGGAGCAGGAGGAGGAGGAGGAGGAGGAGGAGGAGGACCCGAAGTGATTCACGCCGTGAGGGCGCTCCTCTGGCCGTCCGCGGGCCATCCTCCCCCGTCCCCCGACCCTTCCTCGGCTGCCTCAGTGCCCCAGTGCGCACCGCAGCAGCCCTGCCACGGCGGCCCTGCCGCAGCAGCCCTGCCGCAGCAGCCCTGCCGCAGCAGCTCTCCCGTACACATAGGTCGGGCATGTCCCCCTACAGGCGGATTTTGGGAGGACACATCAGCAATAACCAAAGCATCACCAAAAGCACTTACACAATAATAGAAACATCGTCCCCAAAATTGTTTCTGCTATGTTTGAATATTCCTCCTGTGGGGGGGGTCAGGCCCGACTTAACCGTACAGCCGGACCAAGGGCACAACAGCACCCCTTAAGAACCTGTGATCCTCCACAGGCCCAAATACACACAGAGAACATCCAAGGGTACCCCTCCCCAGGACACGCACAAGAACACCCAACAAACACGAAGAACATCAGGGCACCCTCCCCGAACCGACCTCGATCTTGTACATCGGTCCGACCGTGGCCGTGACGGCAGCTGCGATCCAAGGCGCCGCCGATCAAACAAGTCCATGGTGATAGCAAGTCTCACGATACAGGACATGGACGCCCGACATGGATAAGGAAACAATGGATACGATGCCCAACAACAAATAATGTCCCAAACCGACGGCGGCAACTGTTGGGCAGGCGGCCTTCTGTCTCGAATGGGTAACCTCCGCGGCGACACCGACAGCGAGTCCTGTTCGAAATGAACATGACATGTTGTCAGTCTTTGCACTAATTTGTTCCGTGCCCATGGCGATCGTCCCGACAGGAGGCGGCGAGCTGCGCTTCACGCTTCACGCTTCACGCTTCGGAGTTCCCCAGCGTCCTCGGCATGCACGGTTTCCCCCGGGGTCGTAGGCGACCCGAAAAGGGGGAGGAGGAGGAGGAGGAGGAGGAGGAGGAGGAGGAGGAGGAGGAGGAGGAGGAGGACGAGGGACGAGGAGAGAGGAGGAGGAGGAGGGGATGAGGAGGAGAAAGAGGAACGAGAGGAGGAGGAGGCGAAAGAGGATGGGCCGCCTAAGCCCTTCGGAGAAACCCTCCACCTCGGCCCACGCGAGCCTCGCGCGCCCGAAAGTGCTGGGGGGGGGGGGACGCGGGCCGTGGGCCTGCCGTGGGCCCCTTGGTGGGCACTGACTGCGTCGGCAGCGCATCGCCTCGCACCCTTCTTGTTCGTCCCGGCGCGGCAGAGGCACGGCGTGCAGCACTTCGGGTCCTCCTCCTCCTCCTCCTCCTCCACCTCCTCCTCCTCCTCCTCCTCCTCCTCCTCCTCCCCCTCTCCTCCCCTCCTCCTCCTCCTCCCCCTCCTCCTCCTCCTCCCCCTCCTCCTCCTCTCCTCCTCTCCCCTCCTCCCCCTCCTCCCTCCTCCTCCTCCTCCTCCTCCTCCTCCTCCTCCGCCTCCTCCTCCTCCTCCTCCTCCTCCTCCTCCTCCTCCCTCCTCCTCCGCCTCCGCCTCTCCGCCTCCGCCTCCGCCTCTCGCCTCCGCCTCCGCCTTCGCCTCCGCCTCCGCTCCGCTCCTCCTCCTCCTCCTCCTCCTGCCTCCTCCTCCTCCTCCTCTCCTCCTCCTCCTCCTCCTCCTCCTCCTCCCCCTCCTCCTCCTCCTCCTCCTCCTCCTCCTCCTCCTCCTCCTCCTCCTCCTCCTTCTCCTCCTCCCCCTCCTCCCCCTCCTCCCCCATCCTCCTCCCCTCCCCCTCCTCCTCCTCCTCCCCCTCCTCCCTCCTCCTCCTCCTCCTCCTCCTCCCCCTCCTCCCCCTCCTCCCCCCTCCTCCTCCTCCTCCTCCTCTCCTCCTCCTCCTCCTCCGCCTCCTCCTCCTCCTCCTCCTCCTCCATCCTCCCTCCTCCTCTCCTCCTCCTCCTCCTCCTACCGCCTCCGCCTCCGCCTCCGCCTCCGCCTCCTCCTCCTCCGCTCTCCGCTCCTCCTCCCCCTCCTCCTCCTCCTCTCCTCCTCCTCCTCCTCCTCCTCCTCCTCTCCTCCTCCTCCTCTCCCCTCCTCCTCCTCCTCCCCTCCTCCTCCTCCTCCTCCTCCTTCCTCCTCCTCCTCCTCCTCCTCCTGCTCCTCTTCCTCCTTCTCCCCTTCCTCTCCTCCTCCTCCTCCTCCTCCTCCTCTCTCCTCCTCCTCCTCCTCCCCCTCCTCCTCCTCCTCCTCCTCCTCCTCCTTCTCCTCCTACTCTTCCTCCTTCTCCTCCTCCTCCTCTTCCTCCTCCTCTTCCTCCTCCTCTTCCTCCTCCTCTTCCTCTCCCTCCTCCTCCACCACCTCCTCCTCCGCCTCGCGCACTTTTCTTTGTCGCGGCGCGGCAGAGGTAATCCGCTCGCGCGCTGTAGTAGCTGGGGCAGAGCGTACTACTTGTCCGGCAGATAGCGAAGGAGAGGGCAGAGGGCGGCCGCGGAGCAAGAGGAAGGGGGAGGGGGCACTCGCTGCACGAAGGTCTTCGGCACGAGTGGCCGATGCGGCCACATCGCCTCGCACACGGTTGTCCACGACTGCGGCTTCACGGCCGAGTTGCTACAAGCGCCACGTGCCAACCTGCCCCTCGCTGAGCCGCTGCTGGCGCACGGGGCCGTGCGTGCGTCCGCGACTTCTGCTGGCTGCCCGATGCGGGCGCCAAGCACGGCTGTGGCATCGCATCATTGCGAGGGGGGTGAGCGCGGCCTGGGCAACCACGGTGAACGAGGCTTCCTGTCGTTTTCCCTTCGGAAGTCAAGAAGAGCGGTCGATCAAGGGGGTAATTGGAGGGGCCCGAGCAGGCGAGGTGCGAGCCCTGGTGCCGAAGATTCCCGCGCTGGCTCTCCTCGTCCGTCGTCGTCGCGCGCTCGGGCGTGGAGGGCCGACGACGACTGCAAAGGGAAACGCGAGTCGTTCGATCTGCGGGCTTGGGCGAAACCCGCGGATCCTTTGAATCGTTTGGTCGATCGCATGGCTTGTCTGCCGCGTTTTTTTCGAACTGCTCGGCCCCGAGGCCGTTGCCCTTATGTGCATGGGCGCCCTGGCATGACCATTTTTCGGCCGCAGGCAGGCTTGCCTGTTCCGCCCTTCCGCTTGAGTGGGCGCCGCCTGGCGTTATCCTCAGATCCCGCGCGCCCGTTTTGAGCCCGCTCCACCTTATTATCCTCTTCCTCCTCCACTTCCTCCTCCTCCTCCTCCTCCTTCTCTTTCTTCTCCTCCGCCTCCTACACCTCCTCCTCCTCCTCCTCCTCCTCCTCTTCTTCTTCTTCTTCCTCCTCCTCCTCCTCCTCCTCCTCCTCCTCCTCCTCCTCCTCCTCCTCCTCCTCCTCCTCCTACTCTACCTCCACCTTCCCCTCCTCCACTTCGTCCTTTCCTTCCCCCCCTCCGCCTCCTCCTCCCCTTCCTCCTCCCCCGCACTCTCCCCTCCTCCGCCGCCCCCTCCCCCCTAAGAATCCTTGGCGTAGTACTCGCGCAGAATTTTCAGGGCCGTCTTCACGCCCTCGAGGCCCTTCTCCTCGGCGTGCCGCGGGCGAGCCCCGCCCCCGGGGTCGGGGCCCCCTTCAGGCGACGCGGCCCCTCTGGAAGGGGGGTGGGCGGGAGCAAGGCCTGGGAAACGCAGGAGATTGCTTCTGGGTCTCCGGCGAACTTTTTTGTTAGCAGCCGAAGGCGAGCGCGCCAACGGCGAGTGAGGTCCGAGCGGGCCGCGCGTGGGCCTAATTACCTAGCAAGGGGCAGAGCAGGACCTGCCGCAGAAGCCTCAGCACTGGAGCAGCGGTCTCCGGCGAGCGCGCTGGTCGGAGGAAGTAGGCGGGAACATGAAGCAGGAGGGCGGAGGAAGCAGGTTGGGTTCGGGCCAGCCGAGGGACATAACGAAGCACGGCCAGAAGGCACTTGAAGTAGATTGGGCTCCGGGAATCCAACAGTACCTACCTTCAACGCCCGATGGGTCATCCTTAAGAGAGGGGGAGGGGGAAAAGGGTAAGGAGTGCACGATCCACCGCACGATTTCGAGATGTCCGGTTGCCGGACGCACGCGGCCTCCCCCAGCCTGCCAGGCCCGACATGAACCCCCCCGTCCCCAGCTTCCACTTTCCCCTCCGCCTCCTCCTCCTCCTCTCCCTTCTCCTCTTCCCCCCCTTTTCCTCCCCTCCTCTTCCTTCTCCTCTTCCTTTTCCTCTTCCCCCCCTCCTCCTCCCCCTCCTCCGCCTCTCCCCCTCCTCTCCGCCGCCCCTTTCCCTCGTGATCCCGCTCCCGTGGCGGCTCCGTGACACTCGCGCACGTGCTTCGCTGCCCGGATCCCGGCGGAAGGCAGCAAAGATGAGGCGGGGGAGCGAGGAGGCGCAGGAACTGCAACAGGCTATCCTGCGCAGTGGTTCGAGCAAGTGCATCAAGACCGCCATTCGGCCTTGCTGAACGGCTTGGGGCTTAGGCCATGAGCCAACACCTAAACGAGCCAACTGCTCCCGCCGATGTGGTAAGACCATATGAGTGTTTGGTTTCGCCAGATCACGGACCAACGCATGAGCACCGAAAGCACACACCGAACAACACCAGACCAACTGAGCTTGTTGAAGCCGCATCGAATGCTTCCCAGGTGCCAGCCCCCCAGCGATATGGAGCCGTCCCCCCCCCCCCCCCAAAACAGGAGGGGCCAAATACCTCTAATGCGTAGGGGCGGGGTGAATCAATGGGACGAATGCCACCCTCTGATAGTGGCTGAAGATGCCGACCCGAAGCAGACCTGGCATCTCTTGCGGAACTCATCCAAGGTGCGTGCAGAACAAAAGGCCGCGACCAGACTCGGGGCCACGGGGCGACTGGGATCGCGAGCGGATCTCGCGCTTCTCAACGCCGCTACTGATCCTGCGTGGGGTCTACTGACGTTCGCAGCAGGCGATTGCGCGCCACCCAGGCGCGCCTCTCCTCCATTGGCGCTGCATCTTGAGGAATCTAGGCACGGGCCGCGGCCTCCGACGCAGGTGCTCGGATGCCAAGTTGCCTGCAGCTAACTCCGAGAGGGGTCTCGGCGCATCCATGGTGGCAGCTGGATGCAAGTGCGATTTGACAGAAATGAGCCTTGCACCACCTTCTCTGGACTTCATGCTCTCTCGAATTCGCAACCGCAGATCAGCAGCAACTCCCGGATCTTTTCATAGCTGCGTTCGAAGAAGCCTGGGACAGCATGGCCATTGACCGTCGCATAGCACATGAAATCAACACTCGCCCCCCATTCTAACTCAAGCGCCAGTGACTCTCCACGCGGCGCGCACTGACATGGGGAAGGCCAGGCAGCCCTCCAGATACAAAGGTGCGAACTGCCATGGGGGCCATGGGCGTAAACGAATTGAGCTCGAGCCCCATCCGTCGACATCGACTGTCCGCCGACGCTCTCCCCCCAGAGGCGGCGCCAGACATCGCGACGGGGCCCGAGCGAGATCCATTCCCTGGACGTCCCGCGGACAATCCACCGCAGCCGCCCGCCCAACAGTCGTCCTGCTCAGGAATTGATGGACGGGCCGCGGCAGCCGCAAAAATGATGCCCCTCAACAGGAAGACATTGTCGGGGCACCCCCTGCCGCGATGAAAAGCAGTCTCTGGGGCCCTCTGGCACCCCGGGCGCGGGTCATCAGAGACGGGATCGGATCCCTCCTTGCTCCTCGCCTCTGGCCTTCTTTCTGCCCACGGCCGTTGCGGTCATCGACTCACTCCTGGCGCGCAGGTTTTTTTTTTGGGGGGGGGGGGGAGGGAGGAGATGGAGAACCGCCGCGAAGCTCCAAAGACTGCCACAACGCGCACGCTGCCTGTTGAAGCGTCGGCCTGGGCGAACAAATACTGCCCCCCCCCGGGAAAAAACGGCCGCTTACCCGAGGAACCACCTGTGACAATTATTGCCCGCGCAGGTTCCAGCTGCGACAACGATCTGCGAAGCGAGTGGTGGTCCGCCCCCTACCGCGTGCCCTCGCCGCGCCAGTGGTCGGGCGCTGCCCGAGCCGGATGCGCGCGCTGGCTCGGTGGGTCTGGAACATATGACAAGCCGTTGCTGTGATTCCTTGGCCGGCACCTTGACGTTGTCGCTGGCAGCAAAGGCTGAAAACATCGAGTCTGCATTGCGATGAGAGGGCCAGAGAGGGAGAGAGAGACAGAGAGAGAGAGAGAGAGAGCGGCCCACTCCGAAACGGCTTCCCAATGCACTCATGCGCGTCGGGCGCCGCGGAGTCCTCGGGGGCGCGGGTCCTAGAAAACAGGTCCAGGAGGATCCCGTGGAACGCTTGGGGCTGGGTGCCAGGGGCCATCCACGCCGCGCGGAGAAGTCCGTCGGGAGCAGCGCGCTCGTTCGAGGGTCTGACGGATATCCTCGATGCTGGGGGCTGCGAAATCTGCCGATGCCTGGTGCGGGTGCTTCTGGTTGAGGTGGGTCCCGATGGCGGTCTCGTTCGCTGGGGGGCACTGGGGATCATGTCCTAAAAAGCCGCGGAAGCCCTTCGTGACTCTTCTCGAGGCCCCTCTGGTCGGACCCTGGCCCTCCCCCGATGGCGCGCTTTGGGCAGACCCCTGCTGGGGCCATCCTGCAACCTTCGGGTTTCCGCGGGAGGGCTCGGCGGACGGCTTTGATGTTGCAGAGATGACCGGCGGCGGCGGGCCGGCCCTCCACGCGGAGAGCAGTCTGGGCAGCACGCGCAGCGCGAAGCTGTGGAGCGCCAGCTCAGCGGCGTGCACAGATCTGGAGAGTCGACGGCGTGCGTCTGGATTCTGCAGGAGCTCGTCGCGCGCTCGTCGGGCAGCTTCCGTCATCGCGTCTTCTACGAGCGCCCGTTGGGGGACGGGTGAACATCTGTCAAGGCTTGCCGCATTAGGCCGTCCCGTGAATATGATATTCTACGTCTCGTCGGTGGAGGCCGCGCCTGGAATCCCCTGGCCCGAGGCCTCGGCGGGGGCCTCGCCGCGGATCGCGGGGTGGAGAATCGAGCATTCGCGGGGCCTGGGCTGCGGCATTTCGGCAGGGTCAACATCGACGGAGAGGCGCATGTCCGCGCCCAGGAGGAAGTGTTCAGGGGCGGCGCCGACGGCTCCATCGATGCCCAACGCGGTGTAGCGCGGCCGGCTGAAGTATGTCGGGGACTTCAGCCCCCCTTTTTTTCCTCTCTCTCTCTCTCCCTCTCTCACTCTCTCTCTCTCTCTCTCTCTCTCTCTCCCTCTCTCTCTCTCTCTCGCTTTCTCTCTCCCTCTCTCTCTCTCGCTCTCTCTCTCTCTCTATTCTTCTCCTCTCTCTCTCTCTCTCGCTCTCTCCCTCTCGCTCTCTCTCCCTCTCTCTCTCTCTCTCCCCCCTCTCTTGCATCGTGTCGACATTGTGGCGCCAGGGAGCTTCAGCGGGCTGAAACGTACCTACTTTGCGCGGTTATGCTTGTCCAAGTAGAGGATGGCCGTGGCTGAGGGGGGGCCCTCCGCGAACGCTGAAACCGCCCATGGCAGTGAACGCGCGACTCATGGGGCCAAGGTTGTTCCAGTCCACCGAGGCTTGCCACCGTTCCTCAATGCCCGCCATTCTTGGAGCAGCGATGTCGCGGGTCGCGGACAAATCGTTGGAATTCTGCGTCGGCGGCCGCCTTGTCAGCGCCCGTCTGATGAACCACCGCGCAGCCGCATTGAAGCTGCGCGGCGGCCCTCGGCGCCTGCGCCAACCCCGTGGGAGACCAGGGGCGCGGCGCTGCGTGAGACATCGCCCTCGCCCCCGCGCTTTCTGCAGAACTGCTTGGCGCGCCGGTCGGCGAGGGCGCGCGCCTGCCGTCGGGTGCGAAGTCATCGTCGGAGTTGGTGTGGCGACCTGTCTGCGTTGACGCATAGCGGTGCGATGGCCGCGCGGGCATTGAGATCCTGAGGCCGCTCCGTTGGTCGCCTTCTCGTGGATGTCGCGCCGAAAGTCGGACGCTGGACGACGCCGCTGCCCCGCCCAATACTCTAAGAAACCAAGTTCGCGAAGGGGCATCGCCGGCTAGTTCCACGTCGCTCGTAGAGACTCCTGGCGCAGTGCCCCACGCTTCCAGTGCCCGCTTGGCTCCGGCGGGCTGGGTGGCAGAGGTGGCGCCGATCGGTTTCGGGGCCGAATCCCCCCTGCGTTTTGAAAGATTCTGTTCTGTGGGAGGCGGGGCGCGTCGTTTGCTTGCTGCTGGTCTGGTATCGGCGCGGCATGCCCACTGCATTTTTCTTATACTTTTCGTTCTCTCTCACTATTTCTCTCTCTCTCTCTTTCTGTCTCTCTCTCTCTCTCTCTCTTCTCTCTCTCTCTCTCTCTCCCTCTCTCTCTTTCTCTTTCTCTCTTCCTCTCATTTTGTGTTCTCTCTCTCTCTTTGTTGTTATCTCTCCCTCTCTCTCTCTCTCCCCCTCTCTCTCTCTCTCTCGCTCGTTTTTGATTATACATAACTTGTGTTGTTCCCCCCTCTCTCTCTATTTTGTTTTTCTCTCTCTCTCTCTCTCTTGTCCCCCTCTCTCTCTCTTGTTTTTTTCTCTCCCTCTCTC